AAAAGGTCATGAAAAAAATCTCTTTAACATTCAATTCCACTTTTTCACAAACTGTATAAAAGCCCCCTCTTGTATATAAGGACACTCACAGATCCGTTAGAAGAAAAAAGAACAAAATGGCAAACACTTTATAAAAGTAACTCTTACAGTATAGAGGGGCCCCACTGGATACTCGCTCTCATGAAGAGATCACTGACGATACGGGTGCTGTAGCAAAGTGTGATGAAGACACCAGATGGTGCCCGGCTGTCAGAAAGAATAGCACTTGGGTTCTTAAAGGTCTAAAGGCTTGTCTTCAAACAAGCCGCTATCTAATTGAGACATTCACCTAAGTCCACATGGAAGAAGCACACCAACCTGTGTGATTGAAAGATGGTAAATAATAAAATCCAAATCCAAAGCGGGGAATGTTAACAGAACTTGAATTGCAAAAGCCCAGTGTGCCGAATGACAGTGGAAGCCTAAAATCCATTTGCAGGGTCCACACATGGTTTCCTCTCTGAATGTAGTCCAAGGGTGCTGTCAGATAAAGAGCACTGTAAAGGTGATTATGGCAGATGTAGTTAGGTTAAAATGTAACACCTCATTTGATCTCCCTTTTGACCTGTTTTAACGTTGTTTCAGTTTTTAATATTTTCTGCCTTTTCGATTGAGACTTTCCTATGTTTTGTCTTTGTTGGGGTTTTTTTTTGTTTATTTGTGTTTTGCTTCCTCTTTGTCTTTTGTATGATTTTCTGCATATACAATCCAGGACAGCTAAATATATCGAGACAGTACCTAGATGAATAATTACCTAGGGGCGTGGAAGGGAAAGGAAATGGACAGCTAACAACAGAGACAAGGAACCTGTTCTCAAATTCATCCTGGTGATGATTGCAAGACTCTCAATACTCTCAATATGATTGAACAATTAAATTGCATGACCTGTGAAGTATGTACCAATAAAACTTTTTTTCAAAGTTTGAAGAATATAGATGGTTACAAAGTATATGAAAAATTAATTTTTAGTAATCAAAGAAATATAAATGAAAATACGGGGATTCTTTTTCTTTTGACCAATCCAGTAGATTGTACAGAATAATATCCAATCAATTGCATCAAGAAATGGGGTAAAATAGAGGTGCTAGATTTTTTTTTAACCCCAAATGTTATTTATTTAATATAATCATCACAAGGGTGCAAATGGAGACTTAATTTAAAAACAAACAAAACAGGAATGACACCACAGCTTAAGATAAGAGCTCTACACAGAAATCAAGGGGGAGGGGAGGGAGGACAGACATCTAGGAAGAGAAGACAACACAGCACAAGGACAGGGAGGGTCAGGGCTCTTGGCTGGAGACTTGCTTTGAGTAGGTTTCCTGCAGGTGTTGCTTAAAGGCTGTGGGGTTTTTCCAGAGTTCGGCAGCATGTGTGTTCAAAGGGCTGTCGATGTTGGGCTCTCCCAGCAGGCTCTGGATGGAGAGGAGGATGGTCCTGACGTCATACAGGGCAGACCACTTGTCCTTCAGGATGTCCAGGCAGATGTTACCCTGAGTGTCCACGTTGGGGTGGTAGCAGGGGGTGAGGAACTTCACTGTGGTCCATTGTAAGAGTAGCCACTGGGGGACTCCAGGGAGAGCTTATACCTCAGGTCTTCATAGACTGTACCAGCTGCTCCGTGGATGGTCCCCATCCACTTGAAAAGGTTGTCTGATTCCGGGAAGGCAGAGATTCCTTTGTCGCCAGACATCATGAGGGTCATCAGCTCCTGTTGTAGCCTCTTGCCCACGGAACCCCGGGCTGCGCCCCCGCTGGGCTCGGCTCATTTTCGGGCGGCTACGACACTGGCTGCGGCTGGGTCGCGGTTTTGGGAGGCCATTCGCACGGTGTTGGCAGACAGGGTCTCGGAAGACTGGACGGCAACTGCAGTGTAGTGTGTTGATGCTAGATTTTTTTCAGAGACTGTGAACTGTTAAAACCTGTCCGACAGACATGGAGGTCATGCTTCTCCAAAGCCTGAACATTTCACAAATGTCTACCCACTTAAAAACTTACCGTACATATTCGTGTAGAAGCTGAGTTTTTCAGCACACTTTTAATGCAGTTTTTGTAGTAAAATTAGGTGCCTTGGCTGACATTCGGGTTGGTTTATACTTAAGTATATATGCTACTTCTAAATGTTTAACCCTGAGGAAATAGTAAAAGCTATGCTCAAAGTAAAATTCACTAGGATGTTTAACCTATATGCTAGGATGTTTGTCAAAGGAATAGTTGGAAACTGTTCTAATATTGAGCAGCAGAGTTTTGTCAAATAAATTAAGGTACCTCTAAAAATAGAATATTGTTGTTGTTTTTGCGAAGTGCCATCAAGTTGGTTCCGACGCATGGTGACCCAATGCACCACAGAGCAAATTACCACCTGGTCCTGCACCGTTCTTACAGTTGTTCTTATGTTAGAGCTCATGGTTGCAGCTACTGTGTCAACCCATCTTGTCCAAAGTCTCTCCCATTATCCTTTACCAAGGAGGAGAAAGCCGGGCTTTCTACTCTCGTGAATGGTGACAGTCTTGGAAACTCACAGGGGCGGTTTTATCCTGCCCTATAGGGTCGCTATGAGTCAGCATCAACTCTATGTGAGTTTGTTGTTTGTTTTGTTTCTTGAGTGTACACTTTACCAGACAGGATGTCCTTTTCCAGGGACTGGTTTCTTTTAACAACATACCCAAAGTATGTGAGGCAAAATCTCACCATCCTTGCCATGAAGGAGCATTTTGGCTGTCTTTCTTCCAAGACAGATGTGTTCATTCTTTTGGCAGCCCATGGTACTTTCAATATTCTTCATCAGCACCATAATTCAGCCATATTGATTCTCCTTTGGTCTTCCTTATTCTATGTCCAGCTTTCACATACATAAGAGGCAATTGCAAATACCATGGCTTGGCTCAGGTGCACCTTAGCCCTCAGAGTAGCATCCTTCCTTTCCAACACTTCAAAGAGGTCTTCTGCAGCCGATTTACTCAGTGCCGTCCATCTTCTGATCTCTTGACTGCTGCTTCCAAGGAAAACAAAATCCTTGACAACCTCCACCTGTTCTCCATTTATCAGGATGTGACCTATTATTTCGGTTGTGAAGATTTTGGTTTTCTTTACCTTGAGTTGTAATCCATACTGAAGACTACGATTCTTGAACTTCATCAGCAAGTGCTTTGAGCCCTCCTCACTTTCAAGCAAGCAAACAAGGTTGTGTCAGCTGCATATCGAAGGTTGTTAATAAGCCTTCCTCCTATCTTGATGCCACATTCTTCTTCATATAAGCAAATTTCTCTGATTCTTTGCTCAGCATAGGAACTGAGTAAATGTGATGAGAGGATACAATTCTGCCGCGTGACTTTCCTGATTTTAAACCTTGCAGTATTTCTTTTGTTTTGTTTGAACAACTGCCTCTTGATCCATGGTCAAGTTTGGCATGAGCACAATGGAGTGTTTTGAAATTCCCATTCTTCTCAAGGGTATCCATAGTTTGTTATGGTCCACACAGTTGAATGCCTTTGCATAATCACTGAAACACAAGTAAACAGCTTTCTGGTATTTTCTGCTTTCAGCCAAGATCCCTTTGACATCAGCAATGATATCCCTTGTTCTAAGACCTCTTCTAAATCTAGCTTGAACCTGTGACAGCTCCCTGCCAGTGTACTATGGTAACACTGTTGGATGATCTTCAGCAAAATGTTACTTGAATTTGGTATTAATGATAACGTTTTATAATTCTCACATTCTGTTGCTATATTTGTATGTGCAAGCAAATAAGCTAATGAAATGTGCAAAGACCTGGAGTTAGAAAATGGAAGAACACCCACAGCATATCTTAAACTGAAGGGATGAAAGAAAAAATTCGAGCCTCGAGTTGCAATACTGAAAGATTCTATGGGCAAAATATTGAATGATGCAGGAGGCACCAAAATAAGATGGGAAGAGTACGCAGTCACTGTACCCAAGAGAACTAGTTGGTACTCAACCTTGTATGTATTTTTACTTATATGTGAATAGAAAAAAAATAGCATACTATTCCATTAAAAGCGAGAGAAAGAAGAATGTGGCATTAAAATATATAATAGGAAGCCATTTATGAGATTATTTAGTAGGAACAAGTTCCAAAAAATATATACTTGTGTATAAGCCGAGTTTTTCAGCACATTCTTTATGCAGTTTTTGTGGTAAAATTAGGTGCCTTGGCTGATATTCAGGTCGGCTTATACACAAGTAGATACAGTACCAAATATTGACGATGATACAGGATAGATGGTTTTATTTTTTAATTTTTTGCATTTTTTAAGCTTTCATGGGTATGTATTACATTTATAATATTTTATGCAGAAAGGGCTTTTTTAAATCCAGAAATTAGGAATTAATTTATTTTAAGACAAAATATTTAAACATGCATTTATAAATACTTTGAAGCAGTTTTGAAGCCTGTAGAAATATTGTTTTTATTTAGAACTATATAGTGGGTATAACTTTAGTTGCCTCTGATTATTGAGCTACTATGTAATAGTAATTAATTATTTGCCCACACAATGGTTTTTAAACGTCTTTGTTTCTCATCCCATCCTCTGGTGTCCTTTCGCTGCCAGCGGAGAAGGGAAAGGTGATAGTCGGTTCCGGCTGCTTCTAGCCTTCAAACCCTAGGTAGCAGTTTTACTCTGTCCTACAAGGTCCCTGTGAACCGGATTCAACACAAAGCTTCGAGTTTAGTTTGAGTTTTAAATGATAGGTCAGGCAAATGCTTCAGAGTTACTTACAAATCATTGTGAAAAACAAGGAAAGGAATGATAGAGTAGATAATTTAGTAAATTCTTGGTACATCTGTTTCCCAGTTCATGTGTACGCACATTTAAACCTCTCCTGATTAGTATGTCTTTTGTATTACCACTGAAAACATCATTTTGATGCTGCTAAGTGCAATGTTTTTCTGGTTTATTAGTTTTTTCACAACTTAAAAAAATGTATTTCACTCATAGGAACTATCAAAAAACCTTGAGCTGAGTACTAACAGTTTTCAACGACAGCTACTTGCTGAAAAGAAAAGGGCCTATGAGGCTCATGATGAAAAAAAAGTTCTTCAAAAGGAGCTACAGAGACTTTATCAGAAATTAAAGGTAAGCACACTAAGTTGTTTTACGTTGCCTTGTAATATTAGATGAAACCCTGTCTTTTAAAACAGTAGCTGAATAAAATTCTAATATTCTATTTGGCACTTTGAAGGAAAGGGTTTACTAATACAGCCACTCTAATGCATACCAAAAGTGAAATGCCTAATACGTTATTAGGGATGATGTAACTGAAATAAATGATAAAACCCTGGAAGAAAATGGTGACATAGGGGATTTTTCTGTGTTGCATGGTTGAATAACCCAGTGTTCCCTCAGACAACCTCCCGATTTTAAAGTTGTGTCAAATAATGCCCTTCATTTCAGTTTAGGTTCCTCTAATCAGATTCTTTAATTCTGTTAGAGCGGCTGCTCCTAGAAGTTGTTGATGTACTAAAATTAGGTGCAAAATTGATTGTTTATATGAAGGGGCTCCATAAAGTTCATGAAGAAAATCCATTTTCTTTCTGTTCCATTTTCCACAATCTTTTTGAAGCCTCTCGTACATTCTCTTGCATAGAGTTTTCATTTTTAATCAGATTATCAGCACTGTAACCCCCCAGTGAGTGACAACTCCCGTGTTAAAAAGGCATGGTCTCGTTTTTTCACTCCTCAGTAACTTGGGACCCACATTTGAGAGACGCTGGCTCATTTGGCTCTGGCTTAGCCTGGCAGCCAATCCAGACAACACGAGCTCTACCAGGTGAAGCAGCTAGAACATAGGCCCGGCCTTGATTGCTCTCATTTTCTTTCCTGCCAGGGCCTGCTGGCCTTTTAAATTTTAAAATTGTACAAGTAACTAACTACCTGTCCTAAATGTACTAGAATCTTTTCTTTCTATAGTTTGAAAGTTATGAAGGGGCGTTGGGCCAGTTCTGTTTCAATTTGATAAGGAAAATACAGTTGACAAGGTAAGGGTTTTGTTTAATTTTTAACTTGGAATACATATCCCTGATTCATTATATTGGGTTTATTTTCAGGAAAAGGAGAGGGAGCTGGATATAAAAAACATATATTCTAATCGTCTGCCAAAGACCTCTCCAAAGAAAGATAAAGAATTTTCACTAAGAAAAAATGGTATAGTGACTGTTATTGTTGGAAAAATGATACTGTGAATATTATTAATAATAATAATATGAATTAATTCTGAATTAGGACAGACTTTTGAATTAAATGAAATGTATTTTGTATCATTTAAATTTCCTTCTAATTAATTTTCAAAAATATTATCAATATTTTCCATTTTATTCATGTGTTTGTGTGTATGTGTGTTTATCCTTAACTCTGTTATATATTTCGTTAGTTTCATCTACTTTCTTGAAGTATTTTATTTTATATTTTTTATTAAAAGATCATTTTTGGGGGCTCTTATAATTCTTGTTACAATCTATACATCAGTTGTATCTGACATATTTGTACATATATCGCCATCATTCTTTTCTAGACATTTACTTTCTATTGAGTCTTGGGATCAGCTCCTCTTTTCTTCCCTCCCTCCCCCTCTCCCCCCCTTGATAGATTATAAATTATTATTTTCGTGCCTATAACAATCATTGTCTCCCTTCCCCTCTGGTTTCTGTTGTTCTTCCCCCTTTGAGGGTGTGTGTGATAATGTGCCATTCATTGCAATCGGTTCCCCTTTCTTCCCCTCCTTTCCCCCCTTTTCCCCCCACCCTTTTGGTATCGCTATTCCCATCCCTGTTCCTGGATTCCGTGTGTTGTGAGCTTGATCTTTTGTCTGTACCTGTGTATATGTTCTGGTTCAATCCAGGGTGGGAAGCAGCACTGGGGTCACGATAGTGGGGGGTGAGGAGGCCTCAAGGAACCAGAAGGTATATTGTGTGATCCATCGGTGCTCCTGGAGTATTTTAAGCAAATTCCAAATACTCTTTTCATTCAAATGAAATGAAATATACTTTGGCATTATGTCTGTCTTTACTTTGTTTTAGTAAAAAATATAACCTCTCTTTTGTGAATTTGAAAACTTTTAAAACATCAATTTTATGGCACAATAGGATTTGCAGTTAGATTTGTCTTATATCCCAGAATTGCTAGCAACAAAGTAGTGGTGTCAATTAGTTTTCTTTGAGCAAAACATGTATGATTTCATTTAGATGGCAAGCATGTACTAAAATATGTCGTAACTCTATTTGATGTGAGGAGAAAACTCTCTCTTTAATTTCCATGGCAGCTGCATGCCAGAGTGACTTTACAGACCAGTGTACAAAAGAAGTGCAAACAAATGAAGCCTTTGAGCAGGAAGACTTTCCTGTGACCTCACAAGCAGTTGTGTGTTATGAAAACAAATGGGAGGAACAGGATACTTTGGTGAGTTTAGCCATATGACTAGGGACCAAACTCTAGACTTAACGTTACTCCTGGAAACAGAATTTCAAACATCAGTGAGAGGATTAAATGGGGACCTGGGTTACCTTTCAGCATTTTTTTTTGTAATAACAAGTGATCAAGTTTATGAAATTCTTTATACCTACCCTGTCACTTTACGGGGCCTCAGAAAATGTTAGTTGTATGAGTGAGCTACAGGCTAAGTTGCTACTGCAAAGAGACCCAGAATACAGGGATTCACGCCACGGGAATAGTTTACATCCCGCACAATAGACTGAGAGCAGTGCATTAGTCAGGACAGTAACACAGCTTTGTACTATGCTGCCATCCTCTCTTCTTGCTCTCCCGTTTTAAAGAGTGTACTTGTCGTCTGTGGGCTGGGAATGGGCTCGCCTCTCTCATGGGAAGGGGGAGCAAGGAAATAGAGGGGAGTAGCTTTTGCCTTTTTGCACTCACACTTGGCACACATGTCCCATTTACCCTGTGTAATTCAAAGAGAAATGATCAAATATAGTCACCATATAAGCAGCCCTGTGTTCTACTAAAACTCAATATTCTGTTACTAAAAATAAGTTATGGAAATTGGAAACTAGAGAACAGTTTATAGTCTTTCCTAATAATAACTTGTTATTTTACCGTTATTTAAAAATACACATACATATATAAAAGGGGCCATGGTAAATAAGGGATTTTAAGTTGAAAGTACTTTTGTTTGGTTTAAGCACTATACAGTTTTTTAATTAGAAGCTTTGGGCATAGTATAAATCTTGACTGATTTACTGTAATCATTACTGCATGTATAATCATTACTACATCGCACTTGGCCACTGTACTTAGTTAATAGCCATGTCTCGTTAGCTGAATCAATCAGATTTTGTTGGGAAAATGTACAAAGTAAGAAACTTTTGACACTTCTCCAGAATTTCATTGGTTCTCTTCAATATTGGTTTTGATATGTCTTATAAATGAATGCTTAAAATTTTAGCTAAATAAGTTTTTGAAGCATCTTTCAAAGGTAATACTTTGGTTGACTATTTGGAAATTTGCTTTATTTCAAAATTGGTTGGTAACCCTGTCTAATGGAAGAATAATCTATGACATCGGAATCATTTTCCCTTTATAATAGGATCTGGAGCCCCAAGAGAGAGGTAAGCATGAAGCAGCAGATATTATAAATCCAGTTGTGGAAGAAGAAGAAGAAGAAAAAATCATAAAAGAACTTGATGCTATAAAACAGGAGGTTGAGACTCTGGAGAATGGTAAGAAAAAGAGTTTAAGTAAGTGACGAGTCCATATTCGCTGGGAAAGAGCTGGCTGCCTCTAATGTCTTCTGATGTGAATTGGTTTTAGGGAAACAAGGGAAGGGCGATGCACGGTGGGAAAGCAAACATTGGAATGGACTTGAGGAAAGGGAAGGTCATTGCTCTTTGAATTCAGGGAAAGGGGACAGGTCACTTTTAGAACATCTAGACGAGAGAGAAATCACGTGAAGGAAAATGCACAGTTTTTGTTTATTACCCAAAAGTGAATGAGATATGTCTGAGAAATAGCCCACATTATTAGATTGGTATTGATACCTAGTAGTTTATAATTTATGCATAAAATCAGTAAGGTGTCCTAAATATAGGAAAGAAGGTTGGGACTTTCTTGGAGAAAGACAAACTGTCCTCCTGTAGAGTTACTGTCCTGGAAACCCATAGAGGCAGTTCTACCCTGTCCTGTGGGGTTACTGTCAGTCAGCATCAACTCTCCGCAGTGAGCTGGTTTTGCTTGTGTTTTGGTTTTCATACTTGAGTATACTCCTGTCATTCTTACTTGGCCTTGTACATAAAATAAATTTTTAACGTGTTCAATCATAAACTGAATTACAGTTTGAGATACTGAAAGTGAAGTTTAAGAAAAATGTTCCTTCTGAATAAAATGTCTTAAAGCTATTGGGAAGAAGAGTTCTTAGCTTTGATCTACTATATTTATTACTTACGTGGTAGCTGCTTATAGACAAATCTGCTCCTCCTTAAGCTGTTAATGAAGTAAATTTATGACCCAATTGTTGCTTAAATTAATATGTATGTGTATGTGTGTATACATACATATATACATGTTGATTTGACTTTTTAAGCAAATGACTGTTGATATAGAAGCTGTATTTACATCACTGTTGGTTAATGCCCAGAGTGAGATATTTATTTCACTTTTAAACTACAGAATGAAAAATTAAATATTGGATCAATTCTAAGTCATAAGAAAAGGAATAAAGTAACAGAAGATTGCCTTTTTTTTGTTGTCTCTTTTTACTGATTTTATTCCTGAAGTCTATCTGGGATGATCATAGAGGTCAGGGAACCTGTATGCCATTTACATAAGTTAGCAACTTTATAGTGTTCTTGTATATATTAATATTTTTGATTTTTCATTTGGAAATAACTTCAGAATCATTGAAAAGTAGCAAGAATAGACAAAGAACCATTTAAGAGTAAGTTATATATCTTATGCCTCATACCCTTAAGTACCACTCATGACCCAATTTACTTATTTAGTTTAAAGCAAGGACATTCTCTTATATAGCCCCATCATAATTTTCATCTTTGAGAAATTTAACTTTGATTACAATACATATATATCTAATGTGTCATTCAATTTCATTTCAATTTTCCAGTTGGCACAATATGCCATGTACAGTATCCTCCCTACTTCAAGGATATGATCTTGAATTGAATTTAGTTGTCATATTTCTGTAGTCTACTTTAATGTGGAACAGCATATCAGCTTTTATATTCTGTGATGTCAATATTTTTACAAATACAGGCTATTTTTAAATCTAATGTTCTGCATTTTAGGTGTGTGTGAAGCTTTCATAAGATGATACAGTTTCTTCCAGAATGTTACATAAGACTCAGGACTTCTTAAATTTTTTCTACGAGTAATCCCATATTACCTAAGAAATTTGCAAAATGAGCACGTGCTGCCAGAAATAGCTCCCTTTCGTTATATGCTTACATGTGGACTCAGTTTTAGTTGTAGTGAAAACTCATACTGTAGAAACCTCATACTGTTGTCATATTTGTCGTGACCCTCCACATTCTGTTACATGACCCTTATTGGGGTTGCGACCTACAGTTTAAGAAGCTTAAAGCACTGCTGTGACTTTCTCAAGACAACAACATCAAGAGTTTTCATTTATTTCTAATTATACATGTCTTTACTCCATTCGTTCATCTGTTGGTGTCTGCCCATCCATCCCATCATCTACCATTTGGTGTACTGTACTATATTAATGATGGCAGAGAATCTTCTCGCCCACTCATATTTAGGGGAATATTTTTAAAATAAATGTAGATGGTACATGCAATATGCATTAAATGTCTTCTATTTGAATCCTATAATCTGAAGGATAGAAATCAACTTTATGATGTTCATCTTTACTGCACTTATCTAGCCAAAATTACAGACTGTTGTTTTTTCTTTTTTAATAATGTTGTCTGCCCTAAAATTGTATTTTTAAAATTTAAATTTCATACAGAATGGGAAAGAGAAGAATTTGATAAAAAGCAAAGAGAAAATACATTTTTCCTGAAAAGAGAAGAAAAGCCAGAGTTGGAAAGTGGAAGAAGCCAAATGGAGGTATACCAATTTCAGGACTCTGATAAACTCGAAGAGGAAGAGGAAGAAGAAAGACTAAAGAGAGAGCTGCTTCTTGCTAAACTGAATGAGATCAATCAAGAGCTCGAAGATTCACGGAACCGAAAACACCCGCCTGTGCCACTGCTGACGAATTTTGAATCCAACTTAAACTCCCCAGAGAAAAGCCCCGAAGCAGTCATGTTCTCTGAGTCCTCCGAGCGGTCCTTCAATGGGCATGACCTGCCAGACCTTTTCAACTACAGAAGTATCAAAGGAGAGGACTGGAGCCCCAGAGACACTCGAAGCCCAGCCTCTCCAAACGAGCTTACGTTTGGTAGCTATGTGCCTTCGTTTGCGAAAACATCTGGGAAGTCTAATTTATTTGGTCAAAAAAGTGGCATTTTGGAATTCCCAAGTAATGCTATGGAAAAACTGAATAAAGACAGTGCGGGTTTAATGACAAGACAAGAGAAAAAAGCCAATCTGATGGAACAGCTCTTTGGTGCCAGTTGCAGCAGCACCATGTCCTTTAAAAGCAGTGACCCCACTTCTCTGGCTGCCAGCAGAGGCGACTTCGCCCCCCTCAGGCTTCCCCCAGGGGATAAAAGCAGCAGAGGCCGAGAACAAGACGGAGAGGACGACTTCTTCCTCAGTGAAGGGAGAAGTCTCCATCCAAATCGAAACAGATTGAAGCCCGCGAACAGTAGACAAGCAGTCAAAGCAGTTGATTCTGTAGAAGATGACATTGAAGAAGTAACTCTGAGATGACTGACTAGATTATATATTTTTTCCAATTGTAAATATTAAAATATTTTAATATGGTATTTATTATAAACATTTATACTTGTTAATGCTAAAAGTTCTTCATGTTTTTAATAGCTAAATGCAAATTTTTAAAAGTAGATCCTATCTACAACCACATAGCTAGCTTGCCAAGAGTGAGAAAGTCTTTTGAGTGAAATTAAAAATAGGATGTAATTTACTTTTCACTTGCAAATCAGTTTTACCTCTTACTGCAGCTCTCTGGAAAGTTTTATTCTATTGAAGGTTATATTCATTTTCTCCTGATTTATTTTCTGCTCGTTAAAAAATAAGTTTAAAACAGGCTGCTCACTGGCCTTTGAGTGGAAATTAAGAGTTTGAGGTTCTGACTTGAGAAGCGTAGCTCCCATGTGGTAGAACACAGTGCTGTGTGGGCGCCCTGCACTTGTGGGGATCGGGAGGGGTGGGTGGGTCGCTGTGCCTGGTAAAGCAGAGCCCTCTTCAGTGCTGCCAGGGACAGGACATCATTGAGGTTTTCTCACCCTTTGGAAATACAGGTAGACATTACTCATTTTCCAGTTACAAATATCATAAAACCACTCAGACGCAATGATGGTGGCATTTAGGTTGAATTCAGAAGGCTCTCTTTCTGTTAGCAAGGGCAGTTCTCCTCAGTCAGGGCTCCCCGGGGAAGGCTTGTGTCCAGTGTAATCAGTAACCCTTGCTCTCCTGCACCCTGCGTGTGTCAGTGGATGTGAGATTCATACCAGTACAAGGAATAGAAGACATAGCATTGCAATGTAGGAAGATTTTCAACTCAATTATGTTTCCAGAATAATATAATTTGGAAATTTTAATATATACTTTGAATATTTGAACTGACCCTCCAACCAAGGAGAGATAACAGCACAGAATTATTGGACTCAGGGCTAATTTTAAAGCAGTCTCAGGCAAAGTTTGCGTTAGGGCTTCTGCCATGTAAAGTCATTTGGATGGTGTTTTATTGAAATACATTCACTGGTCTTTTTTTTTTTTTACTATTATAATTCAGCCACAGAAGAGTTGATGAGCTTGGATTTTGCAGGGTACAATTGATCATTAAGAAGCACTAACACACAGCAAGGAACAAACACGAATAAGAAGCAGACTGGAAATAGTGTTTCAGGGAAAGAATGAACATTTATAATGGCACTTCATGTAAAGTAAGCTGCTTTGTCAGAATTTTTTTTAATATGTATATGCTCGTAATTTTGATGTCTGATGCCAAGCATGCATACTAAAGAGGACTAGCGTTTTGTTTTACCTTGAATGCTTATAAATACTTATTGTTGAATATCATCTCATTACTTTTTGACAGGACTTAACTAACCTGGTTGGGCTATTTTAGGTCTCAATTCAAACATGTTCCATCTATCATCTTCTAATTTATGTCATTATCATTTATTGGGAACACCGTCTTCCCAAAGTGCTGAACTATATGAAGTTTTCTTAATAGAGATTTTTATGTCTGATATAAATAAGCACTGAATATTATAAATCATTCCAATATGTGTAAAACAATATTGTAATGCAGTTCTTGATTAAATGTAATTATTAAATAATGTTCATTTTTGTGAATTTAGCTGCTAATTTTTCTGCCAAAATATTCTAATTTTTAGATTGTTTCAAAATTTATTTTTTAAGCCTTTTAAATAGTAAAATCTTATGTTCAATTCATTTTAAGTGGTCTTTTGCTTTTTACAACCTAATGTTTTCAAAAAACCTTTTTTAACCAAAAGTGTTCTATATAGCAAGACATAATTACTTAAATCAGACCTAAAATTAAATTATGGACAGAAACATTAAAATTGGAGAGTAACATGCATATGATAGGTATTTCTTTATGAACAAACCTTAAAAAGTAAATCATTTTTCTCAAGGTCAAGTTAAATTTATTATTTGTACTCAGAGCCTCTTATTAATAAAAATTAAAACGATACCGTGAGTCTGTTTTTGATCCCTTAGGTTACTTGGAAAATATATTTTGAAACAGGAAGCGCAGGATTAATCTTTAATTTGTTTCCCCCATTTTTTCTTTATCTCTCTCCCCGTCCCCCCTCCCCGCCCCCGCTTTTTTTTTGGGAGGGGGGCTTGTTCGTATTTTTAGTTCAAGTAGATGAATTTGCCCTAAAACAGGTTAGATAGTTTGCTACTCTTATCAGATAATTATAGTTTTAATTAGTTCTTTCAGCCTTAATAGCTATCTTAATGGCACATGCTGCTCATAATATATATAAATTTTAAAAGGTGGTGGTAAGGAGGATTAAATTGAATTATGAGTTAAAATCAAATTGTTACAGGGATGACTTGCAAGTTTCTGATACTCCAATCACTCATTTTCAGAAATAGTAAGAAGCTGGTTTCTCCCGTTGGGTGTTCGTTGGATACAGTACACAAATCTGTCTTATGAAAAGAGAATCTGTAGTATGGTAACAATGTGTGTTTCTAGAATGAAAGAAAATACAGTCAGATTATGAAGACAATCAGCCTCGAAAAGCCTTTCTATACAATAATTACACGTCTCACAGTAAAGCCGCCTTTTCAATCATTTGAAAGAGTTCTCCCTTGATTAAAAAGCCTCAAATTACTCATTATTTATTGAATGCTTCTTGGGTGCCTTGTCTGAGTTAGGTGCTAGGAAAATGTCAGACCAACAGGGCCCCGGGCCGGGCCTCACGGAGGAAGTATCTCAAAGTGAATAGATAGCAGAGTGGGGTTTGAATGCACATGGCTCATATCAGTCTCCCCAGGATCTCCCTGGGTACCTTAGCCCTCAACTAATAGTTGTGTAGGTCATATAAATCGAGGGTAAGTACAAAATTGCCACTAGGGTTCCAGTTCATGTACGGCGTGGGTTTCTTTCAAACAAGATGTGTTTAAACATGTTTCCATGATCAATGGATAGCTGCCAACAGGCCTCCCCCTACACACACGCACACACACACAAAAGCCCAATCAGAACAATGTCTTCATAGGGGATCTGCTGAGCCAGTTAAATTGAAGGCAGAGATCTGCTCAGAAGGCTATGGTGACTCCCCAGCGGTAATCTGGGTAGATTTCCTCAATGGACATAGGATGATGATAAGGGCTTATTGGGAAGAAGTTCCATGAAAACTGCATCAGTGAGAAGAAGGCCAGGGAAGCTCTGCAGAGGAGTGTATTCCCATCACAATAATGCACCTGCATTTTCCCATGGTAGCCACACCCGTCCTGTGAGTATTTTGTTGGGGAGCCTTACTCCATCCGCCCTACAGCCCTGCTCTCAGCACTTCAGACTACTCCCCCCCCCCCTCGAGCTGGACATTGCAAGGCAACATGATTCTGAGTTTCTTGAGCACGTGGTTTACGTGGAGAGTGCAGAGAGGTGGGAACATGGCTTTGGAAGATGGGGTACTGAGCAACAATAGTTTCACATTTTAACATTTTATTTAGTAAAAGTTAATTTTGTAGCAATACTTTTTTACTCTTATGCTTAAAGGTTCTGAAGAGTGAATTAAAACAGAGGCTAATGCTGGTACACTACAGACAGTAAAAATGAGTGCATCTATGTTGAGTGCCATCAGAGCGATGCTGATTCATGGAGCCGGAATGAAACCCTGCCTGATCAGCACCATCCTCACAGCTGTTAGATTTGAGCCCATTATTGCAGCCACTGCGGCAATCCAGCTCTTAGGGTCTTCCTCCTCTGCTGATCCTCTACCAAGCGTGATATCCTTTTCCCGGAGCTGGCTCTCCTGGTAACATGTCCCGTAGTAATAGCTAATGACAACTTTCTTTGCTGAAATGGTGCAAAAAGTAGAGTCCAGGTATCTAGCTACATTGACACTATACTTTGTACAAGATATAAGCCGAAAAGGATCCTAAAGTGGAATTTAATTAACTACTATAAGACAGCTGCACTGCATACCTTGTGCATCTGGGGTCCACCCTTAGAAGTACCCTTACTTTATTCAGCATTAAATGTGCACAAAGCTTGACAAGTTATTTCCCTGTTTGCTGAAGAGTAGAAAACCAGAGCAGTTCAGTGACGTTTGGAGCTCCTCATGGGGAGGGTTGCTGCCTACGCAACCAAATCCATGATTGCATAATATTAGAGTTTGCACCGCAGCTCTCCACAATATCCCTGTGTATCCTTGGAGAAATTACAGAAACTCCACTTCCCTCTGTACGCTGGGGCTAATGACAGCTCCTACCTCATGGCAATTGTATGAGAGCTTCTATGAGAAGTGTTCAAAGTTGGAAGCACTTAACATGTTTGTTGTTGCTGCTATTTTGAAAAGATGACTGGGAAAAGGTAAGGGGGCTCCAGAAATCATCTTGTTAGGTACATGGAGTTGGTCCCAACTCATAGTGACCCTGCGTACAACAGAATGATGTCAAGGTTCAAACTGTGCGAAGACTGCGGCTCTTTACCTTGCTGGGTCCCACTTTCAGGTAGACGTCACTTAGTAAAAGTTCTGCAATTGATACTTCAAACTTCCTTCCCTCCATTGGCAATACTGAAGGAAAAGAGAAAGCCTGCCTTCTACCTGCCAGGTGCTCGATGGGCCTCATTTGTGTTGGGTACCCACCTGTAGGGTCGGTGGCCCTGAAGCCTGCACATGCCTCTTCCCTCACTTCATGGATTGATCCGGATGTTCGTGGAATGGGGAAGATGTGGGGTTTTCTCATGGGACTATACACATAAAGATTATTTCCTAGATACCTCAACCAAAAAAAAAAGTTTTGGAAGACAGAAGGAGCACAAGTTACTTACTCAATACCCTTAATCCCTGAAGCAAGTAAGTCATTTGTTTAACGAGACATTACCGCCATACGGGTTTAATAAGGAAGCACACGGGTTATTCTAGCCTACTGGAAGATGACTGTCCAAGAAGTTTACACTACACTCATCAGTTAAAGGCTGAGGCCCAGATACTTATTCTCCCATACTGCACTGTATCGAACCTTCTATGCCTGACCATATTCGCCCGCATTCGTAAAAGGGGGTGCAATCAGAATGGAGTAGAAAGATAACTGACTGGGGTTAGGGAGGTGGACTGACTTTTACCACTTAACTAACTACAGTTTTGGTCAGTGTTCAGCTTTTATTAAGGCGCATCAGATATAAAATGGGGTTGATAATTTCTTAACAGGATTGTGAAGGTTAGATGAGATGATGTCCTTTTGAGACTGTAAGTAATACACTTCAATATAGAAGGCGCTATCCTAGTCAGCATTTTATGTGTGATTTTTGTATTAAGATCCCAAACTACTTTTTATTTAAACAACAGAAGCTTGCCAATGCGAACTTTTAAAGGTTAAGAGTATGCCAATTTACCCCATAATTTTCTGCTTTCTATTGAAATAACACTTGCCCTTACAGGGCAAGGTAAAGGTGACAGTGCCCGTGAGAAGGATAAGAAGGTG